CGACTACAAGAACCACATTAAATGTGTCAGTGAGGATCAGAAGTATGGAGGTAAAGGCTTCGAGGCTAAGGCAAACAAAGGAGACGTGAAACAGCAGCAGTGGATCCAGGTACGTGTAGAAACATTGTTCACTCCGTCTCTGAACATTTTTGGCTCTCTAACATAACGATTGTTTTCCTGTAGAGAGTGCATGAAGCCATGAACAAGCCTGGTGTCAGTGCGAAGCTGAAGGATGTGCTCAGACAAGTCAGTGCATATGATAACGTCCCGAGGAAGAAGGCAAAGTTTCAGGTTTGTGTTACTCCATTCTGTACCACAAATGTTGTGTTTTGTTCACCACAATGTGTGACGAACAGGACGGCATGGTTCAGTGCCCATGTCGCTCCTGGAGGCATAGCTATCCCACGGGAATGTAATATGTAGTGTAAAAGTTTAGATTAGAGAAGCACCTTGTAAGTGCAGCCCGTTTATCATTTCCATTTATGAACAGTTGCATCCTGACAGTGATGTAGTTCTGGACTTAGATGCGTAAACCAATCATCTTTCTTGTGTGTTATTTTCCTCAGAACTGGATGAGAAACAGCCTGAAAATAGGCAACACAAGTCTGCATGAAGAAGTTTGGGAGATCCTTGCTGAAGCTGACAAAGTAAACAACTCTGCTCTAAGATTCTTTCTTTAATGTTTGTTTGACTGTGTACATATTAGCGGTGGGGGAAAAAATCAATACAGCAGCGTAATCGCGATATTTCACATTCCGATATATTATATCGTGTCATGGCCGCAAAGTATAGACACTTTTATTATATAAATAGCAAATGTGCTTTTTCAATTTGTAATTGCTGAAGGGGTTGCACAATTCAGTTTGAAAAAGTTGCGTTGTTAAGAATCACTGTGATTGTACAGTCCATACATGTTTGTGCTCAAGTTTGATTAGACTGAAACACTAACAGTTCAGATTGTGAGGTGCATGCAGCCTTTTACAGGGTTTGATGATCAAAGTGTTGGTCAGTGTGTGGGCATGACTCCCATTGTGTAGAAATAGAAAGACTATTGGAGATGAATAGACAATTTAAGATAGATAATTTGTTCTTATTTGACAGTTGATTTAGTTTAATTTTGTTGACATGATCTGCAGTAAAAAAAAAAGTTAAATCGCAATATATTGTATTGCAATTCTCAGCCTATTGCAAAATGTTTAAAATCGTAATAATATTGAGTTGTGACTCAAGTATCGTTAAACTATCATATCCTGGGGCCTCTGGTGATTCCCATCCCTAGTACATACCAATATGCTTCAAAGACTTTCTTTATCTTACTTAATCAGAATTGTATCTAAGTACTCTGTCATTGGTTTCTTTTTGAACATTTAAAAGCTGTCCTGTGAATGAAGTAGACAAGAGTTTGGCATTATTTATGTTTAGAGCATAAGAGGTGGCTGGTATGGACTTCTGATTTATAATGGGATGATGGGAAAACATGGCAGCTGTATTCTTTTTTTCTTCTGCAGTCTAATTTAATATGCTTAATTTTAACATATTAGTTCAGGGGGAGTTAAAATGTGTTCCATATATCTTCAGTTTCTTAACTGACTCTAACCATTCAAAATCTGACAGCCTCCAGCGGCCCCACAGGAGACAAAAGAAGCCAAACTGTCAGTGGATGAAGTCAAAGCGAATACTAATGGCAATGAAAAGCAGAATGGAAATCCTGACGTCAAAAAGAAACTTAATAAACGTGAGCGCAAAGAGGCCCGTCAACAGAAGAATGGGAAAGCTGTAAAAGCTGCTGAAAAGCCTGACGCTCAGGAGCCGGAACAAGAGCAGGCTGGGAAAAAAAAGAAAAAGGACAGGAAGAGGAAGCACAGCTCTGAGACTGAAGAAGAGCAGAATGGGCATGATGCTGTTAGTGAGACATCCAGCAAGAAATCAAAGACGAGTAAGTGATGTTCTACAGGTCTACTCACAAATCTGTTCTTAAACCGTTCGATGAACGTTTGCCGCACAAATCGGAGATTCATCAATGTGTTCTTAAATGTATTCTTAATTTGTGAACAAAGTTATATCTTGCTCAAAACATGCGTATGCACAAATGAAGGACCAGCTTTCTCAGAAAATGTAAACACTCACCCTTTTAACTAAATGCACAACATATTAATACTACATTCAGTAAAACAAAAACTTGTGTATAATATAAAAATATATGTACATATATAAAACTGTTTAATAGTCAATAAATCAAATTTTCTGAGCTTACCATCAAGAATATAGCAGTTTACACATTGAAATGTAACAGTTTAGAATTTGACTTCCCAGCTGTTATGAAAACCAGCTGATTAATTGGAGCCTATTTAAGGGCATGCAGGGTACATACATGGTTGTGGAATACGTCCATGAAAGTGTAAAGATCTAACCTTGCTGAAAGAAATTGCAGCCTGTGCCTTTAGAAGAGAGCGCATCAGATCGTTAAAACATGTCTGAAGAGTGTGTCGAAGGGATTTATCAGCTGATTCCGACTGCCAAGGCATGTACAGAATGCTGCAACTATGTTGGTTCCTGTAACGGCTTCTAAGCCACCAGACACACCGCTCTTTTTTGCCTTTTGGGGCCATCTCTTGCAGCTTCTACTTGTCTCCACCTCACTGCTCTCGTCCTGATACACCAATCCGATGTCCTTATATTGAAAGATGGGGGCGTGGTAGTATGCTGATTGCAGGTTGATAAGTGATTCTGAGTCACTAACATTTGTAAGGTGGTGAGAAGCAAATTGGGTGGTGCATACGTGAAGTAATTGTATTGAAATTGCATTCTTGTACCTTACCTTTTTTTTTTTTAACTAAATGCACACTTCTCAAATTCAGGTTCAGATTACTTTATTTGTTCCCCTAGGTAGATTTCCATCATGACACTCAGACTACAAAACAGATGTAACAAGGAACAACACATTCTGGTGTTTAGTTTAATAACTAACTGTTTGTATATTCTTTCAGTCCACCCAGAAGAAGAAGAAGAAGAAGAAGAAGAAGAAGATGAAGACTCAAAGGACGATCAAGAGGTTCCCAAAGGTAAGACTGCTTTTTCCACAAAATAAAAAGTAAAACAATGAAACCACCAGGGGTCAATGTTGCTTCATATGCTAAGGGGAACGGAAGGATCACCAGTTGATACCTGCCACACACAAACAAACTATCAGCTGATTTAGGTTTCTTCATAATCCACAGGCAAATTTAACTGGAAGGGAAACATCAAGGCAGTGCTGAGAGAATCACCTGACCAGGAACTGGCAGTCAAGAAACTCAGGAAAAAGGTAAATCAATGCATGTTGTAGTCAATCTGTGTAAATCTATGTGATCTCAATGACTTTGTAAAGCAACCAGTCCTTTTTCTTTTTAATGTCATTTTAAATATTAAAGTTGTCTTTATCCTTTTTCTTTCTCTACTACAGGTTTTGGCAGCCTACTACTCTTTTGCTGGAGAGCAAAATTTTAAAAAGGAAGAAGATGTGCTAGCACTCTTCAACAAGAAGATCAACAAAAATCCCAAATTTAGAGTTCTGAAAGAAAGAGTGAAGCTCATGAAGTAGTTTGTATTCTCACACATTCAGCATGAAATGTATGTTGTTCATAGACTTTTAAAATTTAAAAGCCTTTGTTTTCCTCCATCCTCCCCTGGGTGTTCCTATGCAGATGATTTAATCTTAAAGATTAAAACTTTTTATTACTGAATTACGAGTCGTGTTTTGTCCAGTAGGTTTACAGATTAGCCCGAGGAACACGTCAATGTTGTTTAATGTATAAGATGACACATTGTGATAGATGGCTGCTCTCCACATTCCAAGCCCACAGTACGGCTGGGAAATGGCACCTTATCTGTGGGATTGGATGTTGGAGTGGGGGAAGGGAAACAGGAGAGGTGCACCTGAGGTGAATTTGACTCTCACACGGGACAACGCTAATGCACATTCCTCGGCACCCTGAACGGGGTTCACTTGGCCAGGTACACAGAAGCTCCATAGAAGCAAGATGCTTGGTGTCAGCCTCAGGTGAAGTTTTAATGCTGTCTGATTTTCCACCGCTAGAATGAGCAGCCTTTACCCTGAGTGCACACACACACTGCAACAGGAGGAAGTCTTTCCAGCTTTATGAAGCTCTGCTAATCCCAGCAGGTTTAACACAGATGCTCATTCATCGCACTGCTTACCTGTAATTGTATATTGCATACTTAGGGTATTAGTCAAGCTGTTACTCAAGTTTGGCAGTATTAAACCCGTGTTTTCTAGTCCTCAGTGGGACTCAGTGTCGCTTAAAGCTACTGTTTAATCCAGACCCCACAGGGTACTCAGAAACCTGAAACAAGGCCCATTTCCACTGTTGTAAAACAGATCTTGCTGGACAGATCAATATTTGATTTCTGCAATTAGATACTGCAGGATTAATTATATGGCCATATGTTGGTTCTGGTGTTTCATCCCTAAAATTTGTGGCAGCCAAAATTTTGCCAGCGAGGTCAGTCAGTATGAACTTCGGAAAACAATTAGTTATTATGCATTCTACATTTTTTGCAGAGTGGGTGCAAAAAGCTGAATTTTATTCTTGAAATATCTCCAGTAACCATTTTGTTGACCATTGTAACCCAGCTCAGTGATGCTTTCACTGTCAGGGTAGTCTCTGTAGAGGGTGTCAATAACTACACATGGAATCTAATTTAGATAGAGGAAAACCTTCTTCACTCAAAATGGATATTTATGACTGTTAACTGTTTCAACAAATAACAAAAAAAGACAATTAAGGTTTATGAAGGTTAACAGATGTAAATATAACATTTCATCACTAACCAAGACTTAAAATAGTTAAATGATTCTCACAAATATATCAGAAGTTTTTCTAAACTTCCTGTTTTCTGTTGCTACGTCCTAACATTTGTAAGAACATAATTTTCAATAGCATACATGTGTTATATATACAGAAAAACTACGACTGTCTCTTCAAAATGCGTCATAAAAACGCGACAAGTGTAGCTCTAGTCCGGAAGTGCCTTTAAAAAAAAATAAAAAAAATAACTAGTTAGTCAGCTAGTGTAAGTTAAAGGTTGTATCGACATTATGCTGAACGACAGTGAGTTTACTACGTTGCGGAATAGATTTCAAAAAGATGCCGAGTTTCTCATGCAAACAACGACAGCCGGTGACGAAGATGAAAAGAGTAAGCTGATGGCTGACGTGTTAGCACAGTTTAATCATTGTTCTGACAGGCCGTAGTTAACTATTTAAACACTGCATTTATGTTTTTCTCAAACTAGTTTTCTGAAGTATCCACAATGTCGCCTCGAAACCTTTGTCCTGATATGTTCAAAGACAATATCAGAGTAACTAGAAGCGTGGTCAATGGAAACTGTAGCAGACAACAAAGAGTATCTACATTTGGACATTAGTCTTACTTCATTCATAAACTCTGCAACACATTCACCCACTAAATAAGATTAATCACAGATTTAAAATCTTTCAGAACAAATGTCAAGTGCTGGCTAAAAGCTGAACAAGCTGTAGCCTACTCATTGTTTAGGATTTTGTGTTTAAAATGTCTAAATTATATTTGCTTACAGAATTGTTTTATTGTTATAGTTGATGTATTTTCTTGTATACTCATATATATGGTGTTGTGTGGTTTAATGTTACTGAATGTTGTATATTTTCTACACTGTTTACTGTTAACTCAAAGACTCATGTAGGGACAAGAGTTGGAAACTAGCACTAGCAGTAAACTCTGTGCTGGACATCAGTTCAGTGTTTTGTATTGAAACTGTTAAATTGTACCATCCCTCTAAAATACAAATTGATTTAAATATGTAGCTTCCCATTTGAAACTGACATCCATACATTTGCTTGTGACATATTAGAGTCAAACATTAGGTTACTAAGCAAACAGTATTGTCAGACAAGTCACTAACTTTTAGTTATATGTTTAAAGGCCTACTATTCTACTTTCAGAGCAGATTTTCAGACCAAAACAGACTTGCACACGCATCCTTCATCCCTCAGCCCCCCAGTCTCCACACCCCCCATTTTGCCCCTCCCGTCCTGTCTCTCTTGAAGAGGTCTGTAAGGTATAGACGGCAGAAAACAAGTGTTAAAAATTGTATGAAAATAAGATTGAAATTACACGTAATGATATGCATCTCAAAGTTAATTTGATTGTTGTACATTTGTCTTTTACAATGCCTCTAGAAACAACTTCCCAGAGTGGGCGGGGCTGTCTCTCTTCTCTCACATGGTGGCAGGGCTAACTGTTGGAGAGGGAGGGAAAAGAAAACGCATATGAAACATGTTTGTGCCTCCGAGTGAAACATAAAAAAGCTGGAGGAAGCGCCGTCCTGTCCATGTTAACACAGAGCTGAGATCAACATATCCAGAGGAAGTTTATCTTAACTCTCTTAAGGACGTGATAACTCCCCAATTTATTTACATAGGGTATATTTGAATTTTGCTGGAATTATATTGGAATATCTCATATTATGCTTTAACGGCCAGTTTGTAGTTTACTACAATTCCAGATAGTCTTTCAAAAAACCTGGTATTTTCTTTCAAAACTGGTACAATAGCATGAAGATGCATTCTATTTAATGCAAGCAGCTTGCACAGTGGACAATTGTACAACTTTGAGGCCTTCACTGGCAGATCACCAGCAATTCTTGATTGTTTTGACTGTGAGCAAACGCTGTGTCAGCTCAGCAACATAATACGGGGAAACTCTACTCCTACTGTGTCCCCAACCAAAGAGTCATCTCTTATAGTGTAAACTTAGAAAAAGTCCAACGGTTTAACACTTTTTTTTGTTTTAGTTCTTGTGTTTCATTTCAGTGTATGTACCATCTTACAGGAGATCTCAGCATATTATATCTTGTATCCAAAATGCACCGCTTGGCACCACTTTGACTACAGATGTAGGCCAAATACTTGTTTGGGGCATGGAGTTCATTGTGAACTCTTCACAGAGTAGACCAGCATCCTGAAGCACTTCAGCAGCCAACAACAGGCTCTGATACGTTTAATCATCCTTTAATACAGAGATTAATAGCTCTCTAAGTAAGATAACCTCAAGGTAAACTATCACTTTCACCCAAAAGCTGCTGTAACCTGGAAGGAAGAGATTTGGAACTTTTTTTCCTTCAGGTAACCATGCAGGGTGTCGGTATTAACTGGTGGGACTACTTAGTAAGATTATTTCTTAATGATCCATAAAAGTGGCTGTGGCTCAGTGGTGAAGTTGGTTGTCTCACAAACAGAAGGTTTGGGGTTCGATCCCTAGCTCCTGCAGCCACGTCCCATGTGTGCCTGTGCAAGACACTTAACCCTAAGTATCCCTGGCTGCTTTGTCGGTGGCATATTAATGTGTATTAATGGTGTATTATTGGCTAATACTGATGACTACTTAACATAACAGTCTCAGCCATCAGTGTGAGAGTTGATGTAAATGTGTAAGTATGACCTGCAGTGTAAAAAGTGCTTTAAGTAGTCAGAAGACTAGAAAGGTACTATACAAGCTGAAGTCCCTTAACCATTGACTTGGATATCTCTCAACGTCCTTGTTGAATGAAGCCTGATCTAAGAGTAAGCGCATTTTTGAAACAGACCTGTATTCACTCTATTTTTTTTTCTATTACGTTCAGGTCAGGGGGAAAAGGATGCTAAACCTCTCCCTCGCATTAACAGACACTCCATTTTCTGGATAGTTGCATCTATTGGTGTGACCTACTACGTGGACTTTCTGCATAACATCATGGAAAATGATGACATCAAAAGGTGATGAAGTTAAGAGGGAGACACCAAACTTTCCATCACAACCTTTTTCATTCATTCTCTATTCTCTTCATTGTAAAAACACAAAAGTAAAAAAAATAAACCAGGTATCAGGTTTGTCATGTGCATTGGTAAAACATCAGAAAAGCATGAGGTGCTCTGACTTGTTTTGTATTATTTTATGGAGTTAATGTGAATGACCTAAACATACGGTAAGATTTGAGTGGGAGAGTATGTAAGTAACAACAAAGTAACGACATAAGCAGAGGTGATGAAAACACATGTGCATAGAAAAATGAAGTGATAAATTTGATAAAATAGTTAGTGAAACTAGAGCCATATTATTAGCCATGTACTAATTAAATCGTCTCCATCATTTATCATTCACAACACAAACATCTTCATTTATCATCCAACCTCAAAGATAATAACTTCTGGGAAAGAATTTATCATTCACAACCTCCAGCTAAAATGTACGATGAAAACAAGAAATTTTGTTACTTCCTCCTTAAAAAGAAAAAACTGGCCCTTTCATCAAACAACTCGACTCTCGACCTTTTACTGTCTGCACAGAGAGGAAGAGAAGACAAGCTACGGAGTGTTTTTAAAGATTTTTGGTTACTATTTCATCACTCAATTCACTTCTGGAAGTTTTTGAGGCAAGTACTTGTTGAAGATCATCTGTATTTTAGTTTACATCTTTACAAAAAAATAACGTTGAATTGTAAAGCTGTTCCATTATTTTCTGAGATGAAAAGCTACACAAACAGTAGGCTGACCAGTCACACCTTCTGCCCCCCGCATTGACCCACGACAGGCCCCGGGCTGAGCTTGTGAAGCTTCTCAACTTCTTCAAAAACAATGGAACACCTTTTCACCTTGATGTACATTTTCTCGAAGCTGTAAATATTAATAATCTCAAACAAAACTATATTGCCTGAAAACTTCCAGAAGTGAAACATTTTGAAAAAGTTTCACTTTAGCTGGAACTTGTGAATAATACATGGTTTTGCAGTAGTGATTATCTCATCACTTGATAATTTATCACACTATTTTTAAATTCACACATATTGTCACTACTTAACTCTAAATTCACATGCATATTTACTGCTTAATATTTCAATAACATTAACATTTATTTCTTCAGTTTTTATCGTCAAAATCCTACTCCTCCTGAAATCCTACATGGAAAAAAATTACATCACTTTATAACTTATCACACGCATTTTTATCCCTCAATTATTTAAATTCACATGTTTTAATCATTTTTATAATTTCATGTTTTTTGCTTTTGTACTTTTTGGAAAGTTGAGTCACCAGCACCTAATTCCACCTAAAGTTCAAATCTGCCTTCATGTAGTAAATGTTTCTCTTACTCGTTGTCCCAGTTGGTGGTTCAATGTAGGTCTGATACTTCTTGGGGTCTGCCTGTCTCTGGCCATGTTTTGCATCGTGTACCTGGAGTGGTTCAAAGGCATCCAGCACTACGACCAAGAGTACCCCGCCATTCCTCCCATCACCACGGCAGCCTTTATTGCAGCATCGTGCAGGTAAAACAGAAACACGTCTTAAAATATAAATATAATATAACAATATTAAAACCTTCATGTGTAACATTTTGCACCACTGATGTACTTCACCTCTCTAAATGCCCATTTATTTCAAATTGTTGGGCACATGAAGAAAGATGTGATGATATGAGCTCATTAAACATATGGTGATCAATTAGAAACAACAAATTGGAATACAGAAACCTCAATGGTGCAATTTATGTTGGTGGTTAAAACATCTGGACTATATTTACTTTATAATGAGGTCTAACAGCCTATCACACGGCTGAGATCAAAATGGCAACAACCAGTAAATTTGCTTTTTTCCTCTTGCATTTCAAAGTACATATCTATTTCCTGCTGTTCGATGTAGGAGCTTCCTGTTTCTTTATCTCCTTTGGAAAATAGGTAAGAAGAGAGTAGAATGAAGGGGTACAAACTTGTGGTTGGATTTAAACTTGGACCATCAGCTCAAGCTGAGGAAATTGTTGACTAAAGACATAATATAACATCTATTATGTTAAAGTGGTCTGTAAGTGAGGGAGTGCAGAATAAGAAATAAGCCAAGGGTTAGTGCCATCCAAAATAAAGACTGCAATGAATTTATTTATCCTATTAAAAGGTTTTATCCCAGGGATTCAATTGATCCTATCTCACTTGTAAGAAGTGTGTCCCGAGTCAACCGAACCATGAAAATCCAGGCAGAGGACAGGGTCTCTTCAGAAACAGTCACCATCAGCTGCCCCAATCATCACTTATATCTGTCATTTCATTTTTTTTTTTTTTTTTAAGAAAAAGCTTCTGGCTCTTTCTTTAAGCATTTATTTATGTAGATAAGAGAATCTGCACAAAATTGCAGAGCAATTGAAATATTTATAACACTGATGTTCACTAAGCAACATGCCTGAAGAAACTCAGACATGTTATACTTGTCGTCATTTAGGCAAGAGTGATCTTTGAGTTGGTTTGGGACTTTTAACTTCTCATATGATAAGTATTAACTTTTTTTAAAATCATTAAATAGTTGTCTGTATTTGACTTTGAGCTAACCCCCCCCACCCCACCAATGAAGTCTGGTTAGTGCTTTGTATTTGATTTCTCAAGTCTCAGCAGCTACATTAATTGAATGGCTACTCACATTTCTTTGTCTTGTGATTGGCTAATCCACCTTGTTTATATGATGAATTATCTTCACCATGAAACTTGGTAATTGAGTCAATGAGTATTGAAAAATGGGAAGCAGTCCAATGTTAGACCAGATCTGTTTGATGCAGCCTGAAGAAGTTATTGGTTCTCACTTCTTATCTGCATTTTGTCCTTAGCAGTTCTGGAGTAAATAATCTATATCTGAAAATACACTTGCATTGAAAAGCATCCCATATTATTTTTGAATGGACAGGTATGAATGAAAACAACACATATATCATGAAGTTGATGTTGTTTCCTTGCAGCTTGAACATGGCACTGTGGCCAGTTTGGTCCTTCTTCACTCCACTCATTCTCTTCACACAGTTCATGGGTGTGGTAATGTTCATCTCTTTGCTTGGATGAATTGGACAGGTGAGGATAATACTTATAATACTTCTTTACATCTTGGCCTCTTTCTCTGACATCACACACTCAGTGAGTTTCTTAACGCTGTTATCATGTTAAACTGCTGAGATTTCTAATTGCATTAAACACAGGGAGTCAAACAACAATGCATCACTACCTGATTGATTAGCCACTGATAAGGGGAGTGTATACATCAAGAGGTTAAAAAGAACAGATATGAAGGTTACCCATCAGCTAATGTTAGCATTCAGCCTCTTTAAGGAAAAATGCTATTTGATTGTGTTACCTGATAACAAAGGAAATGTCATAACTTTCAACTCTAAGTTTATGTTAGCAAGAGCAAAGAGGTGATTAAATACTAATGATACAATAATGATAATGATGATTGGGTTCTTGTGTTGCCTGGGTTCTTATAATGGTTCTTGTGATGGTTGGGTTATACATGTCTGTTGGATATCTTGCAATATGGGTTATTTTCTGTTGAACTGTATTTAATTATTTTTAATATTTTGCATTTGTTATGTTCTTGCTGTTGTTTCTGTTCTTCTGTGTTTGGTTTAGTTTGCTTTGTTCTTGTTTTTGCCTTTTCTGTTTGTCGAAGCACTTTGTAAACCTGTGTTTTTAAAGGTGCTATATAAATAAATTTACTATTACTATTATTATACCAGTACATATCCCTGTGGACTTTAGACTTTAGACTTTATTGTCCCCGAGGGGAAATTCTTTTTCACAGCACCGTTACTGTCCAACAGACAGGTCCCACCAAAGAACATTTATACACACAAAAAAACAGAGAATAACACAAACAAACAGATCCAAACTTTCTCAATCCACAGTTCAACTAAAAAGCTCTAACAACTTGTCAGCTTCTCTACAATTATTCTGCTTTAAATCTGGAACATATACGGCACTCTGTGCATCAATACAAGAGCATTTGATCTTCCTGCCCTGAACATGACATCAAAGAAAAATGGCTGTCATGTGAATATAGTGAATTTGTTCACCTAACATTTATCATTGAATGAATAAGACTGTTTTCAGCATTAAACTAAGAGTACTTTAGAGGTGAAACTCTGTCATTCAACTTTTCTTACACTATCAGTGCTTTATACTTGAAACATATTAACTTACTCCATCCAGTGAACCATCATGTTTAATTTACAAAACACACATCTAGCAGCACCGGCGCTGAATAAATGAAGATGGGAGACAAACGCATAATCAAAGTTATCTATGATCGTCAGTGCAGCCATAAGATTTATTTAATGTTGGTGTTTTTTGGGTTACATACTTCCTTATATGGAAAATAATTAAAATCTAAATTAGAAATAATAAAAATGTAGTCATGCAGAGACTTTAGGACGTTAACAAAGTAGACAAATGGATGCCCCCTCACTATATTCTGTGTTTCTTCTGAGATTTATCTTGACTCCCTGATTGGCTCTCCTCAAGCTGAAATCCTGATTTGGTCAATAGCGTTGTCTCAAATTTGATTTTTGTAACTATCTAATCTTCCTCCTGGTTCATTTCCTTTGTCTCCTCTCTGTCTCTCACAGATTGTGTGCATTCGGCAGACCTACACTTGCAGCAGACTGATGAAAGATGTCTGCTGAAACAACACAACTCTTATTGATGCTTTTGTCTCAGGCAGTCAGCATTGTTGGATCAACAGAGTGTCGATGTTTTTATGACGCTGACCACCTCTCTTTATGACTTGTCATCATTGTGTTTTCTTTAAGAAGCAAAGGACAACAGTGTCAAGAAACAGGACACTCTGTGTTGGGGGGTCTGCAAAGAGAACGTGTGAGTTTTGAGTGTAACAAGTTAATGTTTTGATTTTTTCCTACAAGGACAAAAGTTAAAACAGATTTTCCTTTCTAAAAGGTGTTACTTATACCATAAACATTGGCTTTGTTCTATTTAAATGATTCAATAGATCTTGAAGATGTGACAGCGAGCACACAGAATACCTGGGATCTGAAACTACAGCAGCTTAACGCATTCAGCTGTAGTTCATTTAAACTTACATCCTCATTGTTCCTCATGTGAAATGTTAAAAACATCCTCTGGTACAAAGGAAAATGGTGAAAACCCAACTGTCTTCATTAATAACCATGTTGATAAAAAAAATGTGAAATTAATTTTTTTAACAAGAGGTTTGTTGTGAAGAATAAAGTTGTTTTTTTTCTATAATAAACTTTTTTTTTTTTTTAAATTTCACTGAATTGAGGCCCTTTGCTGATGAATCACAACTATAAACCAATCCACAACATTTAAATAACTTAGTACCATATGCAATGTTAGATCTGAACATGCTGCTGGGAAACCTCCTTAATGCAGAGACTTTGCACTTCAACTCATTTGTGGCCAAGATGAAACATTTGTTAGCATTTTATTAAAAAAATGTTTTAAAATCTGAATGTTAAATGTAGTGCTTTTTATACAAGTAGTCCTGCAATAAATTGTATTTTGTGAATCATACAATGACACCTAAAAAAATAAACACACACCATAAATAACCCAGGATCCAAACCAACCGACTTTGCAAAAAGCAGCAATTACATACAATCTGTCTTCTTAAAATTCAACTTTTGTACTTGTTTATTTTGCAGTGCAACAGTATGTTCAAATAACTTCGGCGATAAGCCTAGACAATATGGCAACGTTTGACGTTCAATATTTTACCTAATGCTTTTTGGACCCAACTCTGGCTGTAATGGCGTGTTTCTCTTTAAGACACATGTCTTGTTTTTAATAAGTCTGCATAGAAAACGGTCCAGACAAATCATCAATATAAACAGTGAACTTCTTGCATTCGAACCTACTGTGTGACTTATTTCTTAGTGTGTTCATAAAGCTATAAAGACATGGTGTAGTATTTCGATTGTCATATGTAGTCTATAGTTTAGCAGTTTCTTCTAGTTAATGTCCTTCAATGAACGGAGTGTATGTTATTAAACTTTAAGTAATGGTGAGTCTGTGTTAAGTCGTTCTGTGTTCGAATCTGTGTTAAAATGATTCGAGCTGAAATAACTTTGAGCCTACTAAATCGTTGTGTTCTCTTATCTGTTATGATGCTTCACCTGAGAGACAGCTAAAATGAAAGTTTGTTTTTCTTATTCATTATGGTAAAGAAATACGCTACTGTACGTCCATTCGAAGTGCAAATGACCTACATCGTTTAGGTCTTTAAAAATAACTTTGACGAAATAGACCAAACTTTCTTTTCTTTTTTTCTTTTCTTTTTTTACAGCGAATCACACAGGTATGGATTTGTCCTTAAACTCCACCCGAACTCAGACTGTTAGGATGTTTTCCTTTCAGTCTGATGTCTAGATCTAATCATGTCCAGATCAATCGCCCATTAGTTTCCTGATTCTCAATCGATCTGACTCTTTATCTTTATCCGACTGACTCACGTGGATGGGAAAATCGATACTCAGCGGATGGTTTTATTTAAATGTCTTGTTACTTGATCATGTGTCCTGTCCTCGTGACCCCGTTTCCCCAAATCACGTCTTAGAACAAAAAACTTTTTTTTAACCAGGTAATTAACCCATTGAGATCAAGATCTCTTTCACAAGGGTGACCTGAGCATGAGGGCAGCAGCACACATCATAATAAACATTACCAAGAAACAACTTAAAATATCGTTTCAATGGGTAAGACTGAACAAAGAGAAAATGGATAGTTTTCTCCAGTTTTATCTTGAACATGTTGGAGATTTTGGGAAACAGCATTCATTTAAAGTAATGAGGGTAATACACGTTGAAAAATAGTTTTCATTCTCAGATTTATTTTTAAAATGCGTGCTTGCTTGTCAACATCTTGTCACAACTTCCTGTTCAGTAAAAAGAAAAAGTGTTTTTCGAACCTAAGTGTCTTGACTGAGGGACTGACAAGACTCTAAACACAGAATGGGATCTAATAGCCACTCTGCCTTCGTTTCAGTTTAACTCATTGACACATTTTGATTAAAATTAAAATGCAGGAATCTCGACGTGTTTTTATTTTTATTTTTATACGTTAACGATTAAAGTGACCTGAATTACTTCTAAAGTCACACCTCTATCACCTCTCAATCAGTGTAAACTGTCCTTCCATTGTTATGCTGATTGTGCGCCCGCCTCAACTAGCCTATTTATATTGAACCAGAGGCTACATGATCATATCCAAAACAACCCTCAGTGCGGATGGTCCTCAGCGCCCTTCCTCTTGACATCCATTCACAAAAAAGCTATTGTGAATTTGAGCACAGAAATCTGATTCTTCTGGACTTTTTTTTTCCAACTTGAAAACTAAGTTCGTATCATCAGGTGGACATAAAGGCTCGCGGAGGTGGCACTGGACAGGACAGGTGACCTGCCTTCAGCCTTTAACAATCACAGGTTTTTGAAAAGCCATCTCCATTTTCATGACATCTGGGCCTGCATGCTTCACATCCGAAAGGCACTCCGAGAGGATTTCAGCAGACTTGGAAAGACTACCTGGCAGCTGCTCTGAGGAGGTGGATTTGGTGTTTTTTTTCTGTTATTGTGGATAATTCCGTGCTCAGAGTCTTTGCTTCCTTAGAAGGTGAATGGTTGGCACGCAGGCCCAGTGATTTCTCTGAAATATATGTTTCTTGAGGACGGGGGTTTGGGATCACCGAAGACTGAAACGCTATCTTAGATTTTTTTTCAGTGACTCAGCAAGCCAGTAATACGACCAGATATTTCAGTTTCAGAGTTACCAGATGACAATGGCACCTACCAAGTCCATCCTCAGCGAGGCTGGACATTGAAACTCTGCGTGTCCACTGAGCCGGACCTAGAAGATTGAATGAGCATGTTTGGCACGGTACCCCTGAGCCTGAATCGCCACCTTGTAGCCACAGGTTACGCACCTGGCCTCCTTCAAATGCACTTATAGCGCGTCGGTTTGACTTTATTCTCCTCTCGGCACAGCGGATTTTTCTACATGTCTCCTACCATGGTGGAACACAACGGCCTGGATATCATGTGCCTGAACAAGTACTGCCACAGTTCCTCCTCTTCTTCCAGCTCCGAGCAAGACAAGAAGATTTTCTCGAAGCTACGACTCAGTTTGTCAGGGGAATATCCGAGGAAGAACGCAGAGTTCCTAAGTGGCCAGTATGGCACAAATTTGCTGCTGATCGGGGTGGCGTTGATGCTGGCTATTGCGCATCATGGCCCCTCTGTCAAGGAAGAGCACTTTCTGTCCTTCGTCACCTGCCTAATCATCCTCCAGCTGTTCTGGATGATGTGGTACATCCTGGTGCGGGACAGACAGAAGAACACGCGGACTGATAAAGATGTCCACGCAACAACATGTTGGATCAGAGGTGAGTTTGGACGATTACGCACAAGTTTAAAAGTTAAAAGTAAGTGAATTTGTAAGTTAATGTTTTTCTTTTCCATATGCTTGGAGTACATAAGAGTTTTTTTTGTCATCCAAAAACCATTTTGATAAGAACTAAACGTTTGAATGGAATGAGATAAAAAAAAAGACAGAAATTGAATTTGTTTTGAAATATATGAATAAAATCGTTTTTATTTCCTGTTATACGTGACAGTCCATCTTCATCTCTGTTTGTTTTTCTTTGTAGGTGGCTTGACTCTCCTTGCGCTCCTTTCCATCATTATGGACGCTTTCCGAATCGGGTATTTTGTCGGCTATCAGTCTTGTGTATCGGCTGTGCTCGGGGTGTATCCTGTCATTCATGCAACTCACACCATAGCTCAGGTAAATTTACAACCCCACTTTAATTTCAAAAAAGTTATTCTCTTTCAGCTGTGTTAGACACCGTGTCTTTTTTATTTCCAGCCAAGACTTAGAATAATGTGCTCTTTGTTGCTGAGGCGAGTACAGAGTTGCTGGAACAATATAATCCTGTCATTGTGCATGTTTTTCAAGTGTAACTTCAGACATCAAGGGAACCCTTTCTAATAAAAAAAAGATAAATACAAATTTTCTTTTAATGTTCTGTCTAAGTTTCACTCTCCGTTTTTGGTCTTTTTTTTGTTTAGGTGCATTTTCTCTGGTTTCACATCAAGGATGTTATAAAGAGCTTTGAAACATTCGAGAGGTATGTGAAATATGTAATTCATGGTGCAATATCAGTCCTGTTACAGACCTATATGTTTAAAAAAAAACGTGTAACATGTCCGTCTTAAAAATTCTATATTCATGCTAATCACAACAAACTATTGTTACGCTGTAATATGCTTTTTCTTGAGTGGTCCTAAACCTTGTTGTTAACTGTCTGACTTCTTAGATTTGGTGTAATCCACGCAGTGTTTACCAACCTTCTCCTGTGGTGCAACGGCGTGATGTCAGAGGCTGAGCACTTCTTGAACAACCATAAGAGAAGACTGTCTGCCCTGGGCTACGGAAACCACACCATAGGTAAGGGCCAAGGGGTCGATTGCTGACTTGTACCTGGAAGAAAAGGACAATAGTCCACTTGAGAGTTCACTTCATTGGATGAAAGAAAAAAAAGGAGGGGAGGGTCTTCTAGGGGAAGGGAGGTGAGCTCAACAGCCCAGTGGGTCTTGTTTGTGTCGAACGTCTCTCTATTAGGTTTCAGGAGATACACAGTGTAGTTACTTCTGAGGACTCCCTTCAGCAGCCCTTTCCCCACACTTCAGCCACCACCACCCTACTTGGCAACCCCCTGCTTGACCTCAGACGGCTTTGTCCCCAGGCCGCTTACTCCCAAGGGTGCTGCAATTACAGTAACTGATACAGCTAAGCCCGGGGTTGGGGGGTTCGGCTGCTCCTCCTCATATCCGGCTGACTATGAGGCTGGCTGCACCCTGACTGTTGTTCCCTTTTTTAATTAAAGGGTGCAGTACCATAGTGGTGGCCTTTGCAGGGTGAGGGTGGGGGGGTGGGGGGGGTGAGAGGGGGCACACGGCAGGGTTTTGTTGCGATGATCTCTAGAGGGCAACAGTATTACTTTAGCGTCTGACAAGGAGCGAGTAAGAATAAAAGTTCATTGTCATCCACATGTTCAGCTAATAAGAAAAATACCAACCATATTCAAGAAAGAAAGTTATAGTTGGGTGCTGCCAAAGAATCCATAGCACGCTTTACGATCATCAAGTAAACCTGATTGAGACACTAATTATATTGGCTACTGCGATCAAAACGATAACAACAAACACATTGTGATCTAAGGTTTTATAATAATTCTAAAAGCATGTAGTCAGTCAAGATGTCTCTCACAATGGCCACCCTGGGACCTTTGACCTTTTTTGCTTTGTATCATGTAATATTTTTTTAGTCTAACTTCTTCTATTGTGATGGAGTCTAAATGATGACCAGTGGTCTTTAAAACAATCTATAGAGTGGGTTAATGAACATGACCCTTCTGCTAAACAGGATTATTGTGTGTTTTTTTGATCATCATCCTCTCTTTGCTCTTAAATATTTTAAATGAATTGATCATTTGACCTCTTCAGGCCTCTAAAATCACTCTTAAAGGGACTGGTGTCAACTCGTCAATATAAGAAGACAATGCTTAGTCTAAGGCCTAAACTGTTGGGAACAAACTTGAATGACATTCAATAGGTTTCTGATGCTCTGTGCTCTGAAGTAATTGAGTATAGCTGTATAAAAGTCAAGGCTTAAAGCAAACACCTTGAGAGGACTTTACTTGCTTGCTTGTAATTGCCCCAAAGGATGACATTGTAGACATTACAGCTGTGTTGTGGCTTCCGGCTGTACCAATCTCTTGAAGCATATTGTAAACAATTTTGACTGGTCATCTACAAACCTAAAATACAAGTATACATAAATCCTTTAAGATACGGTTTGATGTCAGTAAAATTTAGTGTTCAGTAGGAACATTTATGACTCAGAGCTTTCAACATGTCCCTGTTTTCCAGCTTAAAGTCTGTTAACAGAAATGACATACATGTGATATCAGGTGCTGACCAGCAATTTTTCTTTGTCCATTAATTGCTGTCTGCAAAACCTGTGTAAAACTATTTGTACACAACTAAATACAAAAATGTTCTCCTAATGTTTTCCATAACATGATATAATATACTTGTGTTTATTTGAGTGATTTTGCCTGAGGTTTTCCGGTAATATGACAAACATTGTAGATTTCTTTAAAGCTGGATTGTGTTATTGGGAACCCTGTCCTAAAAGATAAACCATCAACATGATATCAGAGCATATTTCTCATGGACATCCACCTGTTTGATTTGTTTTGCAGTTCACTCAGAGCCCCACTGTAACTGCACCACCAGCACTTGCTCCATGTTCTCCAGCAGCCTTTACTTTCTCTATCCCTTCAACATTGAATACCACATCTTCGTCTCCGCCATGCTCTTTGTCATGTGGAAGAACATTGGACGTACCATTGACATCTCTTCAAACCGGAAGCGGTTGGCTACCAAAACCAAGAGTCTGACCATAGGCCCCATTCTGGGTCTACTTGCACTGGCCAGCACTATCGGGATCCTGGTGGTCTACATCACCCATGTAGAGGAATCCCTCAAAACTCGCCAGTCGACCATTTCAATGTTCTACATTTACAGTATTGTCATGTTGGTGTTAATGTGCTCTGCTGGTGCTTCAGGTCTGCTCATATTCCGGGCAGACCATGTGCCACTGGACACAACCAAGAACCCATCCAGGCAGCTGGACACAGAGCTGCTCTTTGGGTCCTCTATCGGCTCTTGGCTCATGTCCTGGTGCAGTATAGTGGCTGTGTTAGGCACCAACAGCAGTCCTCCTTACCGCTGGACCAACCTGGTCTATTCTTTGTTTATTGTGCTGGAGAAGTACATCCAGAACCTCTTCATCATAGAGTCTCTGTATCGCAAGCAAGAGGATGGGGAGAGGGACGACCCTGAGCTACCTGCTGCTCCAGAAATCTTTTCGGTGACGTCCTCAATGGCTCCACCGTACAATGGCATCATCAACCGAGCTTATGAGACTCCAGACAGAGCCTGTGTCACAATTGAGAACGAGCAGGAGGAGATTGGCCAGGGGTACAGATGTCCGCGGAAACCTTCTGAAGTGCCGCTACCTGTTGGAAACAAAGAGGAAGAGCCCCCAAATATAAAGAGGCAAATCCTGAAGAATATTGCAGTGTTCCTGCTGATGTGCAACATTTCGGTAAGCAATTGTTCTTGGTTTTGGTTTAGTTTAAAGTAGATTTCATAGGTTATACGATTTCTAAATAATGGTTACCAACTATTTGAAACATTTATTCAGAAGCTGCATTCTTACTCACAATTGGAACCTAAAACAGATTTACTGGTACAAATTTCTGATGAACATCTGGTCAGTTGTGTTTACATTCAGACTACCTTCATAGTTTTAATATAGAATGATCTCCCTTCTATAGGTTATCCCCTCACTTCAGTGGAGTTGTTACTGTCTTTCATCTTATTAGTGTGGTTACAGTATCCGCAAATGTCTTTTCTCCTACCACTCTCATGGACCTTGTTAGAATATATTACTGACAGCTGTTTCAGGGAAAACTCCCAAAAATACATTTCACACCATCAAACATTCAGTCAGGTCCTGAACACCATAAGAATATATTAAAGCGACAAATATTACCTTATAAAGTAGCCACAACAACTTCATAGGGGAATTAATTGGCAATGTTGTGTGTACAGCAGCTTGTGTCACTGCCCCCAAGTGGCCAAAAACAATGAACTCATTTATTTACTTTCTTTCTTTCAGCTGTGGATACTTCCTGCCTTTGGCTGCCGCCCCCAGTATGACAACGGGTTAGAACAGGAGACATTTGGCTTCAGCATATGGACCACAGTTCTCAATTTTGCCATTCCCTTGAACCTTTTTTACCGCATGCACTCAGTCGCCTCCCTCTTTGAGGTGTTCCGCCGGGTCTGACAGGATAACACATGACTGACGATGCCAGATAACATGCACAGGAACACTCGTCACCACCGGCTCCCAAGAGTGTCTCACAGCGCTGGTCAACCGTTCAGGAGGCAGTCTGGGTCACACTCTGACAGACTAGAAAGCAAGCCGTGGAGACAGACAAAACGTAGATCCCTCAGTGTGGGAATAGCAGAGGAAGACCAACCTATTAGCCAATATTCCTTGAAGAATGATCTTGAATAATGAGGACATATTAATGAAGATGATTAAAATAATCGTTTGTTTCAACAACCTAAAGAGAACCCTTTGTACTCTTTGCCCTGTAGACACCTTTCAGTAGGATTTTTTCTCTCGGGTGCATCATGTAAAATGTATAGGCTGTATTGTACATAAAAGATTTGTACTGACTCATATGAGTTCCTGAAAAGGCATCATAGACTACACCTGAACAGAATACTATGAGCCACTGGAATACACCAGTCAGTCTCACACACCTGACAAGGTTATAGAACTGTGCTTTGCAGATAAATAGAGCTGAAAGATCCACAGTGAACCACTTGACCCTTACTTTATCTGCATGTGAAGCATTCAAATTGTACATGGATATAGTTCTCATTTACGTCTCTTAGTATTTCAAGTATTTCATTGACTTGAGCAACAAAGATAGTGACAATATAAGCACTACAATTGAATAATCCTTATGGGTTGGAATTAAGTTCTCATCCTGCCTGTGAGTCATTTAAAGTTCAGTAGTGCTCTATGGTATGAAGTTTATCTGTTCTGTGGTAAGTTAGGTTCAAAATTATGTTACTAGGCAGCGCTGTTTGCATTGTAATCCAGTCCTGTGATCTATGTATGTCATTCATTGAGAAGTGTGATTGGAGATCGGGAATTTCCAGTTGCATCTGTATTGCAGAAAAGAGGAAATCTTCCATAGGAATACACATGAAATGATCAGACCATTTTAAAATAAAACATTTAAAACATGTTTGTGAAATGCTAATGTTGTTGTGGTGACAACCTGAACAACAACAACCAGCAATGTTGTACTTCTACCTGAAGGATCAGCAACAAAAAAAAAACAACCCAGTCTGTAAAATCACTTTCATTTTGATAAAACGCAGACATTTTCTTGTACTTGTACTGTACAACTTTATATCAAATCAATGTATAACTTCAGTTAGTCCAGCTAATTCTCAACCTGGTGCTCACTGTTTGTGTTATCACTATGTGTTCTCACAATGTGCCAATTTATGGTTAAATCTTATTTTCAAGGTACAAAATGCCATATTATATCATTTTTGTAAATACTGTCATGCTTTCAAAAATATTCAGATACTGTGATAACGATTTTGTGAAATTCTCATAAAATGGTGCTCATATGAAATGATGTGTATAATGGTGATGAATGTATATATCTATTGCCTGAAAGAAAATAAAAAAAACTTTTGGTAAAAACTTTTCCATTGTCACATCTCGTGTTGCATCTTTTTTTTATTGTATCTACTTCTCTTGTGCTCTCGTTGAGGACATTTCTGCTGGGCAGATATTGTAATAGAACTTTGTACCACAGGGTGGCGCTAAATATTTATACATTTTTTTTTAAACTCATAACAGTCCAACAGCTCTAGTGTTGATAACAAGTTCAGCCTGCGCCATCAAGTCCTTCATAGGTCCAGTTTCATTCAACAATATTTACAGAACACATTCAACCGCAGCTGAATTTGAGGGGGGATACAGCTGACTGAATTTTTTACAACTTTTTATTTTCCACAAAAATGCATGTGCTTTCAGGGCGTGTAATGTAATTATAATTTAACAAAATAGCTAATTTTAAATTAAATTTGATTTCAATATTTTACATGATCACATTTTAGAAATGATTTTTTTGAGCATGGTCGACAAAGAGGTTCATATAATATTGTCTCTTGATAGGGTGCCTCCAAGCATGACATCCCGAGATTATAGGTTAGTCCAGAGAATTTGGCATCAGGCGTTAGGAGATTATTTTGACGTAGTGTCACAACGATCTGACAGGCACGCAGACACATCTAAAAATATCCGTGACGTTTCCAAGCCGGAAACGCTTCTGCTGCCGCTGCTGCAGCAGCACGATAATGTGGCCTGATGTTCCTGGTTTAACATGTTTGCTGTGAGTTGTAAATGGGACTCACCCATTCAGAAACCTCTGAAAAGTGACCTACTGTCGTCAGAAGGCAAGATGAGTTTCAAGAGGGAAAAAAACATGTGCCTGAAAACACACGCATTTAAAATTAAACAGTTTTATAATATCGGTCAGAAATTACATTTCTTAACTGACCTGAACTAGTCGTGCGTTTAGCTACAAATCTGACAGATAATGGTCCTGGTGATTCAAATATCATACAACGTCGTCGTAATTCATATTTTAAAGCAGTAAACAAATATACTGGTATATTCATTGGCACATACATTGATAAATTGTGCTCCAATCTGTTTGTTGCTTTTTCAGCACCATGGACAGCTCCCTCAGTGCTGATCATAGACTGATGCTTCTTTATGAAAGTGCCTCAGTTGTAGTTTAAATTATGTATTTAGTTGTATACTTGTTTGGAAAATGGATGAGTGTGTCTGCATCTTATTTTAGTATAGGTCATATAATCCACAAACACTTTATTTTGCTACGAAATCCTTCCACAGTTTATTTTCTGTTGGTATGTCTGAAATATACCCGTGCGCAAAAGCCGATTTCCAACTCTCAATTGATGTTGACTTTGTAATTTCGCAGCTTAAAATGTCAAAACAAAAAAAAAAAAACAACTTAAAATGTTGAAGGATTTCTTACACCCGTTCTCCAACGCAGCGCACCGCTGTGCGTAACGCCACGCACAAAGGAGGCGTGATGTGGTCTGCGGCGAGCCCTGGCAGGGCTAGAGTGTGTTAGTGTAAAGGTCTTCCTCACCCAAAGCGCACAGGATACCGTGGACACATATATTCACAGAAGAAGCCAGGTCAGACGACCGGACCGGCAAGGCTGCAACATGCGCTCACAACTGCTCGCTGCGTTTCAGCCCCCCAGCGCACCTGGCGCGCCGCTTGGATCAGTTTTAACGCGCTTACTTCTTTCACCCCGTCTATTTTGCACTCCGGATCAGGCTGTCAGCGGATCGGGACAAAGGGGGCAACCCGGTGAGTGGCTGATAATTGCTCCTGTCCCCGCGCACGGAGCAATGTACAGTGGTTTTACATGAAGAAACACATGGAGAACCCAGCCAAATATATCTCATCGGTGCAGGGGATTGACTCTGCGCCGGCACCTCTCGGAGAGATTATGAGGAACAGCACCGAAACGGAGGCGACAAACGACTGGAGGAAGGACATGGTGTTGCGCACAATGACGGGCTGCCTACTGTGCCTGCTCATCCTATGGACCCTGTTGGGGAACATCATGGTTTGCACCGCGGTGTTGCGCTTTCGGCACTTGAGGACCAAAGTCACCAACATTTTTATCGTCTCTCTGGCTCTGTCGGATTTATTCGTGGCCGTCCTTGTGATGCCCTGGAAAGCTGTGGCAGAGATGGCGGGGTACTGGCCGTTTGGCACTTTCTGTAATATTTGGGTCGCTTTTGACATTATGTGTTCTACCGCGTCCATCCTCAACCTCTGCATCATAAGCGTGGATAGATACTGGGCAATTTCCAGTCCCTTCCGCTACGAGAGGAAAATGACCCAGCGAGTTGCCTTTGTTATGATAAGCATCACTTGGACGCTGTCTGTGCTCATTTCATTCATACCGGTCCAGCTAAACTGGCACAAAGCCAGCGGGGAGGACATGACTGGGATGGACAACTCTTCCTCTATTCGGCAAGTGGAGGAAAACTGCGACTCCAGCCTGAGCAGAGAGTACGCTATATCCTCGTCTTTGATAAGTTTCTATATTCCCGTTGCAATTATGATTGTGACTTATACCAGAATATACCGGATTGCACAAATACAAATTAGAAGAATAGCCTCCCTGGAGAGAGCGGCAGAGCACGCACAAAGTTGTAGGACTAACAGAATAGAGTGCCAACACCACAACACCTTGAAAACGTCGATTAAACGGGAAACCAAAGTGTTCAAAACTCTGTCGGTGATTATGGGTGTCTTTGTGTGTTGCTGGTTACCATTTTTCGTCCTGAACTGTATGGTTCCGTTCTGCGACAGACCGACCACAGACCGGGACGCTGGTCTGCCCTGCGTAAGCGAGACTACTTTTGACGTATTCGTGTGGTTTGGCTGGACAAACTCCTCCCTCAATCCCATCATTTACGCCTTCAACGCCGAATTCAGGAAGGCCTTCGCGAGCCTGTTGGGCTGTCGCAATTTCTGCTCTAACACTCCAGTGGAGACAGTCAACATCAGCAACGAGCTGGTCTCATATAACCAAGATACCCTCATCCACAAGGAAATCGCGAACGCCTACGTCAACATGATCCCCAACGTGGTTGAATGTATTGAGCACGAGGAGACTTTTGACAGGATTTCACAGTTTTCTCACAACAACGAGAACGTCACCGACTCAATTTGTGACTTGGAGGACTGTGAGGCAGACATCAGCCTTGACACGATGTCCCCGTTTACACCAAATGGATTACATTGACTCCAACTTTGTCTCAACGTGCGTAATTGGATGTATTGATATCAATTCCATCGTCCATTCTGCTCCTTAACAGTCCCAAAAGCCCCTGTCCACATGGAGCCCACGGGTCATGTTATAGCCTACTGAGGGATCTATAGTGACTTGCTCATCGACTCTTCAGCAGGGTTCTGAAGCCACCAGGCATATTTCCTGCTGCCGGTTTGCGTTACAAATGACATGTGATGTTGTCGTCCTGTTCTGAAAAAAGTGATGTGTAGGTGTTAATTTATATGACAAGTAAAGTTTGTGTTCATTTGTTTAAAGGTTCAGTGTAATTGAAGCTGTTGTTTACTCGAAGGCATTACTCGCAGCGTCCTTGTCTCATCCGCTTGGAGGGGTGGAAATGTTTGTAAAGATTAACATGAGGAACCATAATATACAGAACTTTTGCTGCTTATAAACCTCATGTGCATCTAGTGCCCACTTTCCAGTGAGTTTGAAAACTGAGGGCAGCCTTACCAAGAAAACAAAATGCAGTCATTTCAGCGCCTTACAGCTTTTTTTTCAAAGAGTTTCGAGACATGAAAAAGGAATGTGTTGAATAGAGTTTTAGATAAATGATGCCAAAATGCAGTATTAACGTGTTTACCCTCTGCACTCACCCCAGCGATTACCCCAGCACACACACCTCATCACCTCACTGATTATTATTATACAGTTGGATCAGGCTCAGATGGCAGGAGCCTTTGATGGAGCATTTCACGATGAAAAAAGGCACAAAGTCCTCTGCTTCAAATGCATAAAAGTGAGCTTGTTTACACTGGAATCGCTGATCCAGATTAAAGACTTTGTCTAAAACCCACAGAATCGTTCTAGCTGTCAGAGTTGTAACTTTTGTAACTAATTTCTCATGGAGGCCAAAACTACTGAATGACTCTGCTTTGTCAGGTCATATTAAACTAGAGTGACAACAGAAGAGAAAATCATACAATAGTCTCACTTTTCAAAAGTTGACTAGAAAGCTTAATTAAGTCACAATCAAACTTCAGAGAATAGCTCATGGTAAGTTTATGATGAAATATTGATTTGACATTTAAAAACAACAACTATGGAAAGAGTAAGGAATAAACCAAGGTGAACTTAAATACTGATGAGTCATTGCGCTTCCCTCATAATTATTCCCAGTAGAGGATGCTATAATAGGTCATCATAAATTCCTAGCCAACAGACAAGGGAGCTACATATTATTAAATCATTAGGTATTGATCAGCTCATGGATATCAGTGAATCCATTTTATTGATCACTTTCCTCATGAGTCGCTTCTGATTAACTCCAGGCACAAAAGTACTTATTCTCACGTGAACATACATGTGTTTTTACACATCTAAAGTACCAATATTGATTACTGAGTAGTGACTGTGTAGTCCATCATTTCTTAACCAATGTCTTTGGAGTATGCACTTCTGTGGTAGCCCTTTAATTAATAGGAGCATCATCCTGAGATGTCCGTAATTACACCACTAAAACGCTGCCATGTGTGAGAACAATTCATAATTTAAAACAGGATTTCTCTGTTTAAATAAAAATAAAAATAAAAACATATTCCTGAAATTGTACAGAACTTTTTATTTTAAATACAAACTTCAAGCAGCTTTCGCTATAAACACAGCAGCTAAACATTCAGAAGATTGTTTAACAATTTGGGTCAACGGTGAGCATAATGCTCAGTATGAAGTTTTGTTTTTACAAAGGCATAAAGGAATAATTGGATATTTAGCTCAAGTCTGCCTGTTGCCTTTTTCTGAACTAAAAAAAGGAAATGATAGGCAAATGACAGTGAAAATGTGTCAAATCAAAAGTCATCTCTCCATAATGAAGACAGACATCTACTTCATTTGCATTGATTTAGGAATGACTATCAAAACCACTGCTAATAGGGCATTAGCTTGTAAGCTAACCTTAGCTAAACAGAACTCACATTAAGGGAAAATGTAAAACTATCGAAAGAAACTCTATCAGTGCACAGCTGTCATGTCAAGGAAAGGATATATTGGATATTTGTACACACTGACACGCTCACCTCTAAAGTGCGAGAGATCAGAGGTTACACAAGATGTGTTACCAAAGATCATGTCACAATTGTGTCAAGTTATTATAACTTACATACACAAACTCACCTCAAAACATCACCTCATGACTCTGCGACCAGCCAGTTTGATGCAGCCACGTACAAGTAACGTAGGACTGCTTAGAAAACAGTATCCTAACTCATGAATGAGCTTAAACTTGTTTTGTGATTTTTAAATGGGTGTTTCAGAACTTAAAGTACTTAAATGATTCATCAATGTTCTAGTTCTTATTGGTTTGTTCCTTAAGTTTTCACTAATTAACGGATCGTTAAGTTATCAGTTACATACTCAAACCTGATTATGATTAACTAACATAATTAAATTCATGTTTTTTCTTGAGTTTCAACTCAAAATAAAATAGAAAGTACCCTGACCAAATTGTCAGGACTGTCCTGAATGACCAAAGATGTCTCTAGGAGTGAATCAATAACACAGACACAATAAGGCTAACATGTTTTGTCAACTAGAATGATTGTTGCCATGGAAATCTCCCAGCCACCTGCAGGCCACTGGGCCAACACATCTGGATGTCGTACATCACCTCTCCCACACCTCTCTCTATCTTTGTACTGTACAGATGACCTGATCTGAATGTATATGGATGTCCTCAAAGTGTGAAATGTGTCATCATTTGTCTAATAAAATGCTGTCATGCTGAGCGGTACAGAGTTCTTTGCTATGTTCCTGAAGGTGACATTAGAGTTTATGTCTTTTCACAAAGGGATAAACACTGCAAGGTTGGAGGGTTTTCACATTTAATGTAACTTCAGTTTTACCACACTCAGCAGTGACTCATGAATATGCAACTCTGACCTTCATACTATTGAGAGAATGTTTAGGTGTGTGTGTGTGTGTGTGTGTGTGTGTGTGTGTGTGTGTGTGTGTGTGTGTGTGTGTGTGTGTGTGCGTGTGTCAGGAAAGATTGTCAGAGAAACGTACAGCAAGAGAAGACATCCAACAGAGGTCCCCATCAGACCCAAAATACTTTAATTATATTGTTTGCATGGTGTGCTTCTTCTGCTCCTCCAATTCAGTTCCTCAGACTGACCTGTCTCCCACAGGTTCAGACAGCAGGTGTGTGTATATAGAGGCAAATGTATGTAATGTAACAAAGAGAGCAGACTCCAGTGAAGTGGCTCTGCTGTACACGATTCCATCTATTCTGTGCAAATGAGGATTTAGAGCTTTCTTTTCTTCGAAATGATATCAATGCAGCACCTTCCCCTATCAGCACATAAAGCCATGCGAGAGAACAATATACCTCGGCAGGCACTCTTTGTTGAACTGCCAACACAAACCTTCAGTCCAGTCTTTTCACCAGAAAAAAACCTCCATCTATACGCTGCATTTTTATACATGTTGTCTGAATTGGACTTTGATTCTGAATGCAGGTAATTATCCCTCAATGCCGAAGCTTTTTTTTCTTTTCAAGGGAAAGATGAGTGACAGGTATTGTGCACATTGATGTAAGGGGGTTAGGGTACATTTACTGCCACAAGTCCTGTATGACAGGTATACAAAGAGTATAAACCTTACATAAAAAAAACACCTTTAAAAACAGTAACAGTTTCATACTTCAACATATATAACTGGTCTTGGGCATTACAACTGCACATGAAGATAAAGAATAAGTGGGTGTAACATACATTTTGCATAAAATCTAATGTAGACTTGACATAGGTGTAAACTAGGACTTAAAATTAGATAGGGTAAGAAAATAAAATAGCATAAAACCCATAGACTGTAAATATTAATGGACAAAGCCTGAGTGATGTCAGCCATCTGTTACGACAGGGGGTGCTGGCGGCTCATCGGCAGCTGCCGCCATGCTGGAAATCCTGTCTCAGCCTAACTCGAGTCGAAGCTGAGGTGAGTTTTAAGCCTCTTGACGAACCGTTATATCGTGCCCACCTTACAATCATGTCAGGTTTCCAAAATCAAAACAGAGTTGTTTTAAAAAATTCACCCCCGTACAGTGTGTGCCAGTGATGACAATGACTAATCAGACCTATTTAGTAGTTGTACCAGGCTGTAAACAGGTTTACTTCAGCTGTAAAAACAGCTTTTTTGCCAGTCATGTGTATGTGACTTTCGGTGTTCTTGAAGCCAGCCTCAAGCGGACACTCGACGAACTGCAGGAATTTGCAATTCCGCATTGGCTTCATTTTTCAAGACCGGAGGTTGCCGCTTTATAAAAACCCAGCTTTTGGCAGGTATGTTGCGTTATGGGTAATGTGGAAGCCAAGTTTGGAAAAAAGAAGCCATAAAATACACAGATTATATTTCTGAATTGCATGTATCAGTCATGTTTATGACTTCAAATTAAAATAACTATCTCATATGGTTCTAAGAATGTATTACATAAGTTTAATAATGATAACAGAAAAAGTGCAAATACAAGCATCTTAAAGGAAGAATGTGCGATTTATTTTTGATCTAGTAGATGTCGCCCTTGAACAACGCATGAAACCAAAACAAACTGCTGTTTAGAGACACCTCTGCTATTCTGAAGCCTCGGCTCTCCTCCAGTGACACACCTCCAACCCCCTTCCACTTGGTACACACAAGGAAGTTTAGCGCAAGCAGCAGACAGATTGTCCTTGGCTCAGAGCTGCATTTGCCCGAGGCCTGCATAGTTGTGTTAGTAGGCTAATGTAAGAACACTTAGCTTGTAGCTTCACATTCCATATACATTCATGTAAATTTACGCAGAAAAGACTGTGATTGAAAAACGCTTGATGTCATTAAAATAAGCAGTGAGTAGGCTATGTTATTCTTTTTTTCTCTCTGGTCCTTGACTAAAACAGCTTTATGCACTAGGGGAGTAGTTGGCCGTCCTGTCCATGTAAACCTGATGTAAACAGCCAGCAGGATTCACATTTCTTAGGCATTGTTGACAGTCATGACTCAGAGAGACATATTGGACTTGATTTATCTTTTTTTTTATATACTCTAATACCATGAAAAGCCCTGCTTTCAAAATATAGCTAAAATACATACAAATGTAGTTGAGGTATAAAAGTCAAAGTAATCAATGTGCAGAAAATGCCCCCTTGTGAGTATAATTATCTTTAAAAACACATCTACAGATTATCAATACCAAAACACAAATCATTTTAACTAGTTTACTGGTGTCGTTAATTTTGATGACTTCACTGTGAAGACACTCCCACTTTCCTACGAGCCCTCACTGCTAAAGTTAGAAGGTTCCAGTTGTAGTTTACCTGTACAAAGGAGTTCTCTTGAGGGTAAGGAACTACAAAGAACTAAATCTTAAATACTGTATATCAACCCCGTTCCATCTCTACAGCCTCAAAATAACTCTGTATGTATCTCTGGCTTGGTAGGTGAGGAAATTATTTTATTAGCAGTGGGTACCTATGTCAGCATTTCCACTGTTGCCGATTGAAAATGGACTTGCAGTGTGCGAAAACGCTGAGTAATCATTGTCTGGAACTGCTGAAGGAAGCTGTAACTCCCCTTGAGTTCTTTGGAAAACATCGAAATCTGTTTTGGCATGACAGCTAGCATGCCTGTTGTTACGCAGCAGGTTGTGTTAGTATGATAAGCTACACTAGCTAAGCAACAACCCCATGAGATTGATTGACACATAAAAATAGATCAGTATTGAACTTTGACAAGCGATACATTAGTAGGCCTGTTCCCGACTAAGGATTTACATCGAACCTGATTCCTCAGATTATGCCTATCGTAGACAGATCATCAAATACTTTTTTGTTTGCGCTCATTTTTACGTCCAGAACCACACTGTGGATTGATTCACTTACTATTATGCAGACAAATCAGTGGCACAAGCATGTTGTATTGTTTTGGTATTTCAATAGATATTTATTGGGACTCAGTTTTTAAAGGTAACAGTCTCTGTCAAACCGCGACCAATGGTCACCCTATGCTATAGACAAGAAGTCTTTCAAGGATGGCCAAGTTTCGAAAGAAGCGTTTATTGAGGTTGCAGACGTCCTTTTTGGTGTCTTTAATAATAAATCTGGCTTGCTGCCTTTAAGGATGTGCAGTTACGCAGGAATACTGTTACATGGCAATGTGAGGCAATGGCTGTGGATGTGGAGGAGTAACTCAAGAGGGACATTGAGGCATGCAAGTGTTTCTCCTATTTGGT